TCTCGTAATATTTTTGACGTCAGTTGCAGGCCAGCAGTTTGAGAACCCTGGTATAAACTGTGTTTACTGACATCGATGCGAATGGACAAAAGATTCCACAAAACGAATCACTCTTTCTTTTACGAATCAATAGTTGTAAACACGGTACACTATCAGATTTAAACCTCATCTGGATGTTTTCATTCACTTAGAGCTGTGTTTACACACTGCATGGAAGCTCATTTTCAAAAACCCATAATAAGGGCTCTTTAATTTTTTACAGAGAAACATAAATATATATTTCTGAATTACAATAAGTATTGTAAAAATCCTCACAATATCTTAACTCCATCTTGAACATATTCTCTGAGCCCTTAGCCAAAAACTTTTTGTCAGTCTAAGAATTGCTGCTATTGTGAGGATGTTATCTGAATGTTAGCTGAGTGTCCATTATATGTGCTACATCTCTGGTTTGAGGCGGCAAAATAAATCTCTCCCCCCAGACCTAGATATGAAATCAACCGAGAGACACAGAGAGAGTGAGAGGAGGAGAGATGTGCAGGAAAGGAGGGAAGCTAAAGAGAAGATGAGTACGAAAGGGCAAATGACCAAAAGAGAGAAGGCTGAAATAAAGAGAGCGAGGAGAAGACTTGATAAATGAAGGAGAAAAAAAGTCCCAAGGGGGCCTCTAGTGCAATAAAAATACTCCTAATATCAAGGTCTCTGGGTGTAATTTGGAGTGGAGGTTGATTAAAGTAGAACAGTGGTTAAAACACAGAGAGCAGTCGTAACTGGGATCCAATCTTATCTAAAAAGACGCAGTGAAGCTGGTGAACGTGGGGTTTTAAAGCAGTTACATTTTAGAAGTGTAATTAAAAGCTAGAACAGGGTGATGAAACATTTTATGAAGATGTTTGATATGACCTTGCACAATACTATTACTTTAGTATTACTTTTTTATTTGACTAAAGTTTAACTTTCTCTTATTTTTATTTGATTGTAGCACAATCATCATGGGAACTAATATAATAATAATAATAATAATAATAATAATTAGATGAAAAAGCTAATCTAAAAAATAAATGTGATTTTTAAGATTTTATCGATGATTAAATGTATGTTTAAAAATTATTAAATGTATGTATGAAATGTTTTGCCATGCATGTATTTTAGTATCAGAGATTCAGGGCTCTATTTTGACGGTGCATGTGCAGAGCGTTTTTGCTAATTTAAGGACGGGAAATCTGCCTTGCGCTGTGGCACATGGTCTAAAAGGGTTGAGTTTATTTTCTTAATGAGTTATTGGTGTGTTTTGAGAATAAACCAATTAGAGTCTCATCTCCCATTCCCTTTAAGAGCCAGCTGCGTCACGCCAAGAACGCATTCGCTATTTACAGGACGCAAAGTAAATCTAAGTGGAAAAAATGAGCATTTCACAAGCAAACAGTTAACAGTTGACAGTTTTTTAACAGAAAACTGTTAAACAGAGCATCTACTGCGTGAGAATGAGAGATAATGGAACTACTTTCACATTCGCTCTTGGATAGGGAAACCTTTAAGCACAGACATCACTTAGCCTATAAATAATTAATTACGTTTGTTAAGCGAAAAGATTTGTTTCAAAACTATTTCCAAATTCAGTTCTAATTTCCAGCAAACGAATAAATGATTAATAATAACAAAGTTTGGTCAAAATACTGAGTTATTTCCAAATACACCTGCTATGCCCTATATGGTCTAAAACCTGACAGGTGGACAAATCTAAGCTTGTTTTTAATGAAACAAATATAAATATGGATATAATAAATAATACTGCTAATAATAATAACATTATACAAAAGTAACTTGAATTAACTGAAAAAGCCTCCCGAGATGAAGAAAGTATGAAGGCAGTGGTTTTTAAATTCATGTAGGCTAGAAATTAATATGTTTTGTAATATTTTAATCATTTATATTTATATAATATATATATATATATATATATATATATATATATATATATATATATATATATATATATATATATATATCCTTAATATATTATATCTTTTTCATATGTAAAGATATTTGCGTATTGCATCTTGTGTGTAGTATGTAAGCCAGGCGCACTTTGCGCCAGACAATAGACCGACTTTGTTCTGGTCTAACGATCAGACTATTTACAGTTTCTCAAAATAGCAACGCGCCAAAACACGCCTGCTTTTTTAGACCAGAACGCCTATGGGCGCACTTTTGAGCGCCAAGCCTAAAGTAGTAAAAGACTATTGCGCTGCGCCTTGCGCCCCATTGCGCCGGGTGTATGATAGGGCCCTCAATGTTTTGAATAATTATAATTACATTTAAACTTTATGTGCTGATAATATATATCCAATTGATATATGAGATAAAAAAAATATTTAAATGCTCTTTTGAGGTCCATAAAGAACATGTTGTTAATCCTCTATTCATACAAAATATGTTTTTGCTTTAAAAACAACAACAGACAACCGAATGAAAAAAAAATCAAGATCACGAGACATAAGCTGAAGTAGAAGCATTCTAAATTTTCTTTGTAAAAAAAAAATACTTTAGAGCTCATGTCTTAATCTAGAAGGTTTTTTCTATGAAGAACAATGAGCCTTTTCTCATTTATTATTGTTTCTAAATATATCTGTAACAGTATTTGCATTCATGGAGCTTCATAACAAAATGCTACTTTAGTGTAGTGAACTATATTATCTGAAATTTGAACACAATTATATTATATTATATTATATTATATTATATTATATTATATTATATTATATTATATTATATTATATTATATTATATTATATTATATTATATTACTGCGCCACTGCTTCGCCCCATATTATATTATATTTTATTATATTATATTATATTATATTATATTATATTATATTATATTATATTATATTATATTATATTATATTATATTATATTATAATTGTTTCTAAAAATAAAAATGAAACACTCAAAATGACATGAAACTCTGGAAATGTGGATAGCGTGGTGACGCAATGACCTTAATCGAACTGAGTGGTATAACATGTAAAACAGAATCATGTGTAGAACATTCAAAAAGCAACTCATGTAAACACCTTAATCATATTATTGTCTTATTCAGATGAAGGCATCTAATTAGATTAATGATGTCCAAGTAAACATAGTGAGTGACATGCAGCAACAAAGCAACAATTCATTTAAAAGAGCTAGCAACTTCTGCTGATCTCTGCACCATTGGTGACTGGATGTGGGCATGTCCAGCAATGCGACAAAGTCAAGAGTTTATCAATTTTATACAATTAAACTTTGACTTTTGTGAGCACCAGCCAATACGAACATCAGTAGAGGTCACATAATCCTATCTCTGCTTCTCCACCACACCAGCCAGTTGTATTCTCTGTGATGTACACAGGCCCGCATTTGCTACAGATAAATAGCCGCGATGACAGAGCACACTTCTTGTTTATCCTGGTAATTAAAGGTGCTGTTTGTACGTTTTTGAAGTATCACACACCAAATGCGCACATTTGCATGTTATTTAAAGTTAAACTATTCCGATAGCACTCTGTAGAGCGGCAGAAATATGAACAGTGTCCTGAGTCATAGCTGGGCACCGCGGACAACCGCGGATTTGTGGCGTCATTGTGCATACCCTGATAGAAATCTATTAGAATTCTAAAATGCAAACCCCTTTTTGACTCTTCCAATGCATAACAATATTAAAATATATTTATAGATCTTGAAGAACATGCTAAGTTAGCATACTTGATTATCTGAAAGACATCTCTGAAGCCAGTTATTCTGCTTTGAAAATATGTGTTTACCTTGGTGGAAAACACAGCTTATTTCATTCCAGTCATAAAGCCTGCTTCAATGTTTGTACATTCAAAAAGACATTCAGATTCAAAGGTATTAAAATTAACATAAGGTGCTGCTTATTTAGCAAATACTACATTGTAAGGCTCAATAGTCAGGTGTGCTTGCTTCTGTTGGTGTTGTCAATCTGGCAAACTGCATGTGCATCATCTGAGAAGGAGGGGCTGTGTGGAAAACACCCCTCTCCAGTGTTTTAAATTTGGACAGCAATATCTAGTTCAACCAATAGGTGGCAATTATACATACTCCACCTTGTATGTACTGATTCTATTTTATTTTATTTCTTTTGAGTTTTTCCCTCCACATGTTTATTTTTAGCAGCAAGCATGCTCAAAACATTTATAAACATTATCTAAGCAACTTCAAAGTAAGAACGCCCACAAGGCGACACAGGGTGAAAGGAGCGTTTTGGATATGCGTATAAAAAAACGGTTGATAGAAACGCCAAGATGCGCATACATTTTGAAAATGCACAAAAAAAAAAAAAACATGCGCATTACTTAGTAGGATAAACTTTTTAATAGATAAGTAAAGATGCACATAAACTGCGATGGAAACACTTTTACTGAACAAATTCCAGTATGCGCAATAAAAAAGGTCATGTGATTTTGTTATACCATGTGATGAAAAAATGTGCACGAATGGACAATCCAGCTAGCTGAGCACAATGTAAAACATCTGAAGTGTTGCTTTGCTCATTCTAAAACATCTCAGTATTAGTGTTATTTTAATATTAATAACCTCTAGAATCTGCGTTTCACACCTTTAAACACCATCGCGTGTTCACTGCGTGTCAGGAATGCCTTCTGAAGCGCAAGTCATTTAAAAATTGAGGAAAAGATTCACGCAGCTTCTCCTACCGCAGCAAATTCCATTTTTATTGTTGATATTTGGCTCTAGATTATCAGGAAGTGATGATTTTGTTCACTTTGACTCGTTGGATGAAAACGCTGCTTTATTCGCACATCTTTTATGCGATAATCCAATTTTACACATAAAGTTAATTCGCATTTTTGGATGGAAACATAGCTAATGTTGGTGTGAATGAGGCTTTAGAAGCGAAATTAAAGCTACAGCAGATTAAAGAAGAATCTGATGTAGACGTTTGATGTGAGACATGTGGGTGTGTCTCCATGTAGGTCTGTCGACCCTGCAGGCGGTGCTGGACACAGCAGCAGAGAGGAAATGGCAGGTAACAGCCATAAACGTTGGAAACCTGAAGGATGAGTGGAAAGACGAGGCATATCGCTCACTCTTTCAGGACCTGGAGAACAAGAACGAGAGGAGAGTCATCCTCGACTGTGAACAGGACAAGGTCAAGGACATTATGGAGCAGGTGAATGGCGCACTAAGAGCCCATTACTCCACACGTGTAAGGTCAGAGGTGTAGTTAAGGAATGATGGACTGCGTACACCTTTAGCATTCATTACGTGATGCTGCAATTATATTGCTCCTGTAAAATACTTTATTGTCTGCTTCCCCTCAGGTGATTACCATCGGTCGACATGTGAAAGGATATCATTACATCATTGCAAATTTTGTAAGTTTCTTTTTTTTTACTGATGTGTTTTACTGTTATTTAAAGAAATCATTAACATTATTTACTGTCTTCCTATTCCAAATGAAAATAGTTGTGTTTTTTTTTTGTAGAAATTAAAATATGTTAATTTTTTTCATTAAAAATGCTAATGTTTCTTCCATGATATGTATTCTGAGCAAGTTCAGAAATAACTTTTCCATTAAGGGCAATAATTTCACACCTGGAATTGATTTCTGGAGGCATTTTCCTATGTTAATAAGGTCATATTTTATAATTAACTTTTTTAATTAAATCCATCTGTGTTGTCATTTATTGGTGACACATATATGGTATTTAACCAGTTACTTCAGTCTGTCAGAAAATTAAAATAAATGACTGTCAATAAAATGTTATTAACAAACTGATAAAAATTGTTTATATATTATTAAACATTAAAAAATCAGGGACAATTATTGCTGTATTGTGACAAAAATATTTATGTACTTAATGTTGTAATAATAATCATTATTCATTTTGATTAATAGAATAAATAAATAAATAAATAAATAGTTCAGCTGCGTAATCTTATTATTTGTATAGGGTGTTCATTTTGACATATTTTTAATAAAGTAACTTTACTCTGATTAGCATTATGTAAAAAAAAACTCATAATCAGCTAGATGAATTATATTTCAAAAGGATAGTATTATGACATTAATGTTATCATTTTAGCTATGATCTTGTTATGTAGTGGACAACTAATTGCAATCTCAGATTGGACAAAAAGCCAATTTCCTGAATGTCTGTCAGCTTTTTTTTCTTCTGAATGAATTCAATTTCCTATATAACCACTGCATTGTCCGAATACTAATGATAACTCAGTGCTGATGTGCCAGAAACCCAAGAGCTGCTTTGTTGTGAATCCTGTTTATGTATGTATGATTTACAGCAGAGGTGACCAATCCTGTTACTGGAGATCGACCTTCCTGCAGATTTCAGTTGCAATCCAAATCAAACACACCTGCCTGTAACTATCAAGTGCTGTTCAGTTCCTAATTAATTGATTCAGGTGTGTTTGATCAGGGTTGGAGCTGAACTCTTTAGGAAGGTCAATCTCCAGGAACAGGGTTGAGCACCACTGATTTACAGTAACTAAATCCTACATCGATTTTCTTGTATGGAATACACTGCTTTATTCAGAAGCATTCCCTATTGTATAATCGCACCTTAGTAATTAGTAATTGAATATTTTCTTTAGACATTTGTAGTCTGCTTGCATAATATTATGATTTTTAATGTTTTTTATTTCTGTTACATTTTTATTTTACTTACGTTTAGACTTTAATCTGAAATTATATTTTAATGTGGTACATAAACACCAAGATTTCATAATGATCAAGACAAAAAAGATTGTCTGCCATAAATTAATTTTGTAAATCAGGGATTTAATGTTTTGAAACAAAAATGCTGATAACAAAACAAAAGACAGTAAAAGAAGATTTAGAATTATTTTACTTTCTGTTCAACAAAACCACACTATAAATAAAATAATAATATTAAAACATATTTAAATGCTCATGTGAGAATGGCTCTTTAAAGGTCCACAAAGAACACATTGTCAATTCTAAAGGTCTGTTAATGATACAGAATGTGTTCTTGCTTTACAGAATATTTTTTTCAGCTGAAGTTCTTTTAACTTGAACATTTTTTGTATATTTTTAAGTGCATGATGGTCAAACATGTACAATGTAAAACGCAATGCAGACCTATGCAAAGAAACACTTTAGAACTTACTTCTAAACCTAAATGTTTACGCTTTTCCTAAAATCATATTTTAAGTGTTTCTCATTTTAGATTGTTTCTGAATATGTTTGAGACAAACCTGTACAATATTTGCTTTCATGTTACTTAAAAAAAATTGTAATTACTTTTCGTTAAGGTTTTATTAGATGTTAATGTATGAACAACACTTAGCATTTATTAATCATACTTCAACATTTATTAAAATCCAAATTTACGCTTAGTAACATTTATTAATGCAGAAGAACTAACAATAAACACATTTATTAATGTTAACCAAAATTAATAAACTCTGTAATAATTGTAAACTAATGAAACATTTATTGAAATGCAACCAAAACATTACCATTATGTCGAAACTTTGTTCCAGAATTCCTTTTAACCTCCCTTTGCTCATATGCTTATGGTATGTAGAAAAAGAGCACACTGATGAAAACAAAATCTGTACAATTTACAGTAAATAAAACAGCAGTTGTGGTTGTTAGTATTTTACTGTTAAAAACAATACAAACATTTTTAATTTCCATGGTAAACATTACTGGATTTCATTTATTTATATTGTTAATACATCAATATTTTGAGGTACCAACATCTACACATCATATCTTTTGTTACACAGACAAAAACACAACCATATGGTGATCAGAAAGTCATATATTGAACCAGTCCTCATATCAAACAACTTTTCCCACAAGCAGAGAAACATACTAATATGTCGCTGTACACTAAAGGCTCTCAGTGGCTACGAAACACCATCATGCTAACATACAAAATTAAAGTAATGCAATATAATAACAATAACATTATTTATCAACATTAGGTGTAACATAAAACTCTAATGTACATAACTGATTAGAAAAAAAAAACAAAAAACACCGTAATCTCAGCAAAAACAAAAAGATGAGTGTGACGCATGGAATTCTGGACAAAGTCAAAGTACGGTTATTCACTGTGCAGTACATTAAGAGCACTTGCTATTAACAAGATTATGGATTTTAACTGTATCCTTTTTTACATTTTTTATCATTAAAATCACAAATGTTTTTACCGTGCAGCTTGAACATACTGTCAAGTGTCTCCTTTTAGTTACGTGGACAACAAAATATAGTGAATGTTTTGAACATTACTGAGTAAATAATAACTATGAGTTAATTTTTCTATGACCATACATTTTTTTTAATAGTGTTTATCGTTCTATAATAAAAATTTGTCATAATAACAACACAACTGCAGCTCACAGTCCAACATGAACTTTGTAATTAAAAAGTGTGTGTCTGTGTGTGTCTTTCAGGGCTTTGTGGATGGAGATTTATCCAAGATTCAGTATGGAGGAGCGAATGTGTCTGGATTTCAGATTGTGGATTTTGATGACCCGCTTGTTGCTAAATTTGACCAGCGCTGGGAGGCTCTGGAGGAAAAGGAGTATCCTGGAGCGGACAGCAGAATTAGGGTGAGCGAGTGCAAATATTGAAATTATGCTGCAGTAAAATATGCTGCTGACAGCATTTTTGAACGCAATCCTAATTATTATGTCTATCATGATACACCAACAATGACTATTGCTCATATTTGTTTACTTCACAGTACACCTCCGCTCTCACATATGATGCTGTGCAAGTGATGACAGAGGCGTTTCGCTTTCTGCATAAACAAAGGATTGACATCAGTCGCCGTGGCAACAACGGAGACTGCCTGGCCAATCCTGCGGTGCCGTGGGCTCAGGGGGTGGAGATTGAACGTGCTCTTAAACAGGTCCTCTGCCAACACATTATCAATGCCTGTTTTCTGTGTGTAAGAACTTCTTATTATGATTTTTTTGTACACATTCATTTGTTCAGGTGCGTGTGGATGGATTGACTGGAAATATTCAGTTTGATCAGTATGGCAGAAGAGTGAATTACACAGTCAATGTCATGGAGCTGAAAAACAGCGGCCCTGTGAAGGTAACACTGACTTGAAATAAATTTTGCCATTCTTCATTAAAATAAGTCCTTTTTATAGGGATGGGAAATGAAAATCTGCATTTAATGGCATTTCAAGTTTCTGTGTTCTTTATTTAATCCATTATGATTATTGCACCCTTTCTAATGTTATTAATAGTTATTAGTTATAAATATATGGCAGCTAAATACTGAACAAAGCAATACTTTTTTGATAGTTTTACATTTTTTGTGCATAGCTACAATACTATTATCTTTGATAACAAATATTAATATTTATGTATTATTTTTGTTATTTTTATTTTGTCTTGTTATTTTTATTCCATTGATTGGATCAAAACACTGCTTTTATCAACATTGTTGTTTAAAATGTGTAATAAATAAGGCTGCACAACATATCGTTTTAGCATCGATATTGCAATGTGCACATCCGCAATAGTCACATTGCAAACATATTGAAGAATGTTGAGTCTGACTCATAGTTAATCGGGGCCCTGTTTCAGAAAGGTGGTTAAGTGAAAACTCAGAGTATGTTAATCCTGAAATGAGAGAAATTCTGGGTTTTCCATTTCAAAATGGCAGGTTTGTCAAACTCGAGAAAGCAGGTTAAGTCAAGCCTGTTACTGAAAGAGAAGTAACTTGTCAGTTACCGTGATAACTTACTCTGTTCACCCTACCTGGTCAGGAGCAGGTTTTATTCTCTAAACTCTGAGTTTCTGTTGGTCTCCTTCCTTTTTTTAAAGCCAAAGCGGTATTTCTTGCCTAAGCCTTAGTCATTCATTGCCTATATTTCAGTCACACAAATACCTACTTTTACATGTATCAAAAAAAAAATAATAATACAGCAGTCACAATTGTTTTAAAATAAAATACTTTATTTTGTATTTTGAAAATACTAAAAAAATACTTTTACAAGGGAGCATTTCTTCACAAACCATCAATCAATAGGCCTATTTCATCAATCCCTTCACCATGATTTTGTCTTTCATTTTAGCAGAAATATGGTACAAATTTCATACAGAAAGTCCTGTCTTGAAAATGATCTCTTTATGTAAAAACCATGTAATGCAGATAATGAGTTGGAATATAGTACTATATCTCGATTTTGTTTCCATTCATTGCATGGCCAGTGAAATCTTTTAACAGTCTTATATTTTAAAAGGGTGATATATGAAGAGATTATTTTATTTATTATTTATTTATTTTTGTTCAATAAATGTACTTTTTTTGCAACTGAAATGTTCAATACTTAATGTAAATCATGATTTCTAAAAACTACTAAAATCTTTTAGTCATTTCCATAAATCATAGTTTTTTTTTTTTTTTTTTTTTTTTTTTGCAATTGTACTCTTCAATGCATGTTGAACATAAAACACGATATCTCTCTAAAAAAAAAAATCAGTTTTTGCAAATAAACTCTTCATATACATCCTACTGCGGTCATGTAACAGAAGTCTGGAGTTTTTGACCAGTCTGTATAGACTGGAGTATTATTAAATATTTGTGTCTCATATACTGTATTGTGCCTCATTGACATCTCTTCATTAAATGTACACTGCATCTGCAGATCATCTACTGGCATTTGAAACGGCCTATGAAGAATTGTAGGAATTGTCACAGTAGGACTTATTTGTATTTTGTTTGATTTATTTGTAGATTTTTTCAGTTCTTCCTTAATTGTGAGAATCCCAGGTTGCCCCCTAGTGAACAGCAGTACACAGTCTTTACTTTAGGTCTTTTTTATTTCTAAAAGTCCTCTGCATTTCCACCTGCAGCACTGAGACTGATAATGATTAAGTGCTGATAGCTTCACATCCTGTTCTTAAGGACTAATATTTTATTTAATCTCATTTATCAAGCAAAGATGCCGATGCCAAATTAGACACTATACTGCCATTATATATCACTGGTCTTAGCATTGTGCAGTATACTAATTTCAATGATTGTTTCTTTTGTTGCTATTTTTTCAGGCAATTTCTTAATGTGTGTTGCGAAATTTCCATCCATACTCCCAAGCTTGTTTAGGCAAATAACTGAGAAAGCACCAATTAGAGGCCAAGATTTCTCAGAAAGTATTTTACAGTATTTTAAAAATACAATATACAAGACACTAAAGCATTTTGATACAAAATATTAACCCATTTTCATAAACCCCATCAAATACAAATAACTAAATTCTCTTTTGTATTTGAAATATATATTTGAAATACATGTATCAGAAATACTGCCCATCCCTGGGTACAAGAATGGCTTTTCCTTTTTTGGGAAAATTACAATAACTGTAGATTTAATACCATAGTTTTAAGATTTAACTTTAATCCTACTGAAAAAAATAAATAATTACTTTAAATTCACTGACCTTTGACAGGGTCATGTACTGTAACTGGATTAATGGGATTATTACTCTTTCTAAAAACTATTTTTAGTACTGCTTACATTCTAAATATCATATCAACCTCTACCAATTTTAAGTGCACTTTTAAATCTATTAAAAACTCAATTTTAGAAATGATCAACGCTCGTAAAAGTGGGAACCTTAAATTAAACATTTCCACTGAACATTGAGTTAAGGTTATATGCAATCTTGTTTTGTTAAATTTGTTGCAGCAACAGTAGCCTATTTTGTGTAATTTAATACAATTACATCTGAAATAACCTAAAAATTACGGCCAATTCCCCACTTATTTAAGTGAAAAGTCTATAAATGTCACACATTACATTACTTATTTTTTTATTATACTTAAATATTTAAATACTTTAAATATTTTAAATGTAAACTTGCATTACCTTTTTCCTGAGCTAACAGTCTCTGTTTTGCTGATGCAGTGGTGTTGCTTTTTTTTTTAATATACGGCCATATTTGCTGTAACTTATAAGTTAAGAAAAAAATGCTAATCTCTTTTTTTCAGATGATGCCATGTTCACTTGTAGTATCTGCGATACATTGATAATGCCTTTTTATAGTTGCAGTATGTGCCCTTAACTGAATTAGTCTACTCAGACTTGATTGGCCTCAGATCAGCTGTTCTGTGTTTTTAATCTCTCTGTACGTCAACTCAGAGTTCAAGTTTAAACTCCAAGTTAGTTGAACCTCCATACTGAAACAAGGCCCAGGAGCTACAGAATTGTATTTAATCACTGTATTCTTATGGAATGTATTTGAGTTATGCAAAAATAAATGGTACTAAGATTTTTTTTGTCTTGTTTCTAGTCCAAATGTCTGATTATTTTACTTGGCCCACTTGCAGATATTTAGCTTGTTTTAATGAAAATCTTCTGATGGTGCAGTACAGAAAACAAAACAATATTTTTACTTGCTCTAAGAATTTTTTGATATTTGGACTGGAAACGAGACAAAACAAAGTAAGTAAAGCATTTTTTTTTTCTATTGAGGTTATTCAATTTCTGTACCTGAATACTGTTAATACTCTTCAGAAAACCATCAAATTTAAACTATCTTGTGAAACGATGTTCATATCACAATATTTACTACAGAAAAATAAAATATCGCAAATCCAGATTTTTCCAATATCGTGCAGCCCTAGTAATAAATATTAGTATTTTATTGTGCAGTAATTAATGCATTTTCTATTAAGCAAAGACAAATTCAAAGTGACAATAAAGACATTCAGAAGATTAAAAAAATTCTGTTCACGAACTGTTTTTAATGGGAGAATCCTGAAAATAAGCACAGTTTTAGATTATAAGTTTCTTTAGGTATAAAGGAGAAAAACTGTTTCAATTGTATTAAGCAGCATATTAAAATATTTCTGGATAAGTTGGCGGGTCATTCCGCTGTGTCGACCCCTGATTAATAAAGGGACTAAGCAGAATAGAAAATGAATGAATAAATATTTTAAAATGCTTAAATTAAAAAATACATTTAAATAATTTAAATGTTATCTTAAATTATAACATTTTTATTTATTTTTACATAAAAAATATATTTTTTAAATAATTACTAAACATTTTACGTTTTAAACATTAAACGTTTTTAATACAGCTGTCATGATCAACAGCAATCTAACCGCCATAGATTGCTGGAGAACAATTATTTTCACTCAGGCTACAAGTCTGTCACCATGTGAACTACAACTCCCTTTAGGCACCACACACACACCTGTCCAAGTTCTCCATTGATTACACACACACACACAGCTGGGAGCTACTAAAGACTGATTACATGGACCATAGCACTTACATTCAAAGACATTGCTTAGTCTTGTTGGTACATACTCTGTAACATTACGAAGTGTTTTCAGTGTTTAGTGTCTCCGTGTTTTGACGTGTTTCGCCTCGGTTTATTATCCTGCCTGCCGCCTGTATCGGCCATTTGCCTGTTATCTGACTGCTTCTGGATTTCCCTGTAAGTTACTGTTAGTGATGGTCAAATTAAGCTTTCTGAACCAGTGAACCATTCTACTCAAATTGTATCGGAAAAGGTTTGTTACTTGAAGCTTGATGAGAACCTCTGCTGGCTAAAGTGTGGGAGATCACTGTGTTGCAAAAATGTCAAACATTCACAACTGACCAACTCAATGTAGTAATACAACAACAGTAATATAAACAAATTATTCAATTAGTTGTTTTGTACATATAAGGTATGTTATAGCACCGACGGCTGTAGTAAAATCCAAGGTTTTCAAAAGTATTTACGTTTATCGTATTCCAACCGGTTCTACACGCACCCACTTGTTCCGAGCAGCGATCTAACCGACAAATCCTGCATGGGAGGAGAACACTCTAGAGGAGGAGGCTATGGGTGTGAGACTTTTTTGATGCACTTGCCAGCCCTCCATTACACACTATACTACAATATGGAGTGGCCTTTTTTTTTAAATAGTTGTAAATAATATAGTAATACACTTTAGTGTGGTTCACAAGCTTTTTACTATGAATTACTTTTGTATTTTTGTTTAATTACTGGTGCGCAGGACCAGTGCAGTGCTTTGAAACAGCAGATATGTATGTAATTGATGCCTAATCTCTCGCTATACACTTTACTACATGTAACCCATGAGAGTGTTTAAACCTTTCAATCAAAATTCGAAGCAGTCATGTGGGTATAGACAAAAATTAAATTTCGGACATCACTGATCACTTGACTATGGTAAAACGAGTCAAGCTCCAGTACAACGCTTCACTGCGAAATGTATAGTTTCTATGATACATGCTTCGAAGCCTCGATGCACAACATCCCATCACTAGTTACTGTTTGCTCCTGATTATGACCATTGCTTGCCTGACCATGCTCTGTGTAATAAAGTACTGCACATGGATCCTCAACTCTGTTGCCAGCGTTCATCAGTTACAATAGCCTTGTTTCAAACTTTGGCATTTAACCATATCTAAACTTTTGAGCTCAAGAATGACTTTAACATATAACTAATTATTGTTTCAGACTCACTGTTTGTGGAACAGGTTTGTACAACCAGTAGAAACGACACAATATAAAAGACTTGTGACAATTATTTCACTGTGCACAGCCTTTCTCTTTTATCACATTCAAGGCAGACTACAAGCAGACAGCCTAGTTCAAACATCATTTCTTTTTTTCTTGGCACTGTTAACTCAGCTGTGCCACAGCACCACCTCTGAATATTGATGTAGAAAACCTTGCCAGAGTAATTTTAGAGTGTTCCATCCACATTTTGGAAAAATACAGACAGTAATGGGATGTTAACTAAACCAAATCTCCAAAAGAATGGATCTATATACGTTTTTTGGCAATTGTTAAAATACGCTGGCTATTATTTGTAATTTGTATTTTTTTAAATGTGTGCTTTTTTCCTCAGATTGGCTACTGGAATGAGATGGACAAAATGGCAGTGACAAAGTCTGACCTTTTCCCCAATGACACCATGGGAATGGAAAATAAAACGGTTATTGTGACGACAATCCTGGTAAGAGAAACTTCATGACGTTTAATGTCAAGAGCAACTGAAGTCTCTATATACCGATGTATTTGCCTGTGTGTTGTAGGAGGCACCGTATGTGATGCTGAAAAAGAATGCAGAGTTATTCACTGATAATGAACGTTATGAGGGATACTGTGTGGATTTGGCTGCTGAGATTGCAAAGCATTGCGGATTTAAGTATCAGCTGAGGATTGTCGCTGATGGAAAGTATGGCGCTCGAGATGCTGAGACCAAGATCTGGAATGGCATGGTTGGAGAACTGGTGTACGGGGTGAGGAGTAAAAACACACACTTGAGCAATGTCTAGATTAATCTGAATACATTTTAAAATGGGATCATTTATTGTTTCAATCTTTTTAACTGAAGTGATATATAATTTGAAATACATATGTTACATTATTATTAAACACACATGATTATTTTTAAATACCTAAATTTTCACAGTCGACACTACAAATACAATTCAAATGTGCTTTCAAATGTATCCATATAGAAAAATGTCTTTAATATGCTTAGTTTTTATAGGGCAAAATGCAATGTTGATGTGAATTAAACAACAAAACAGAGAGAACATAACACTTTAAAAGTATACAGATCAATGTAGACATACAGTCAAGATTACACAATCAAGAAACACTGAACACAATCTTCATGAGAGTTAGATTTTGTGTCTCCTTCACCAAATTCCTCTTCTTTTCACTATTGACAGAAAGCAGACATAGCAGTCGCTCCTCTCACCATCACTCTTGTCAGAGAGGAAGTGATAGACTTCTCGAAACCATTCATGAGTCTGGGCATATCCATTATGATCAAGAAACCACAGAAATCCAAGCCGGGCGTCTTCTCTTTCCTGGATCCACTGGCTTATGAGATCTGGATGTGCATTGTGTTTGCCTACATCGGAGTTAGCGTTGTGCTCTTCCTCGTTAGCCGCTTCAGCCCTTACGAGTGGCACACTGAGGAGTTTGAGGATGGGCAGCTGGGCCCAAGCGAATCTACCAACGAATTTGGCATCTTTAATAGTCTGTGGTTTTCTCTGGGCGCTTTTATGCAGCAGGGATGCGATATTTCACCAAGGTTGGTGCATGCAGTGGGCTGCAGTGTGGGGTTTGCTTTCGGCTTTGTGCATCAACACATTTTCCCACTGATGCCGTGGTTTGTATTTGTTCACACTCCTGCAGTTCTTGCTTCAAATCCATTTCCATAAGGAATAATTTCGATAAAATACATGCATAAATAACTGTAACTTCATTGTTCGATGGATAAGAAGTAAGAACTTACACAGGATAAGGAATGTTTAATCAAAGTCGTGATTTAACCTTTGATTGAACATTTCTTTTGTGAACATGTATTCACCCGGTTGGGAAAAGTAAAGTGCACAAGGTCGCCGTTTCCTGCCCTCTTGGAGTGGTACCGTGTTTCGGCTGCATATTCCCCATTTTCTTCAAAGTGAAAGGGTTTCTTTTTTTCATTTACAGTAGCAACTTATTGGAGTATTTGTGAGTGGCTGACACTGTTTGCTGTGTGTAGGTCTTTGTCTGGCCGTATAGTTGGTGGTGTGTGGTGGTTTTTCACCCTCATCATCATTTCTTCCTACACGGCTAACCTGGCTGCCTTCCTCACTGTGGAGAGAATGGTGTCCCCTATCGAAAGTGCTGAAGACCTGGCCAAACAGACGGAGATTGCCTATGGGACACTGGATGCTGGTTCCACCAAAGAGTTCTTTAGGGTGAGTGGATCATTGTAGACATTATTATTTTTGCTTTTTTTCTGATATAACTGAGTTAAAAACCTTGCCCTGTCTGTGTAAACAAATGAGATATAAGCTAAGCTAAAGCGATTACATCTGCGTAATGTCATCTTCAGCACAAGATAATTGTGACCATTTTTCTGACATTTTGGCTTAATATTTCTATAGAAGGAAATACAGACACGACATGCATCTTTTTTAGGCTATGTCATAAACTGCAATGGCTAAAAATGTCATGTGGTGTAACTACCAAGCATCAAGTAAAGCGTATTAACATAATCTTCTTTAAAGGGATTTTCACCCAAAAATGAAAATTCTGTCATCCTTTACTCACCCTCCACTTGTTCCAGTAAGTTTCCTTCCTCTGTTAAACACCAAAGGTGAAACGTTTTAAAATGTTCGTGAACCTAACAGTTTATGGTAACCATTGAACTCCATGATAAATTTCCCAACTTCAGTGGTTAATATTAACTTTTTTCAGAATGAATATTTTAGTATGCGTGTGTGTGTGTGTGTGTGTGTGTGTGTCTGTGTGTCTGTGTGTCTGTGTGTGTATAAATCAGAAGAAACTCATATAGTCTTGGAACAACTTGAGAGTGAATAAATGTTGAGGGTTTTTTTCAATAAACAATATTATTGAATACATAAAAAACATGTCAATACACATTATTTATCATTAACAGGTACTGTAGGCCTGTCGCAATATTCAATATATTGACTTATTGCATGATATATGAAAATGAGGGTGGTTAATTTTGAAGACGCGATATATTGTCTATTATATACATTGAAATTGAAGATGATGATGATTAGGCTACATAATATAACAAGCAAAGTTTTGTCGAGTGCGCTGCATTCTGTTGAAGGCATGCATTATGCAGAATCCACCTACGCATTTTGTTCTCACACGTTTTTGTTTCGATCTATAATTATTATTTACTTATTTTTAGATTTTTTTCATTTTCTGATTCAAATGTCGAAATATTCCTAACAATAAAACATTCTTTGAAAAATTGTACTGGATTTTTTACACTATTGTTGTAAAAATGTATTGTTTGTAATTTGTGATATAAAATTTATAAAGTGGCAATAATATCGTTTATTGCAATTAATTTGGTGCAAACTATCGCCTAAAAAAAGCCCTATTAGATTTTTTCCAAAAATGATCAGTGTACACTTTTTTTAAAGATACAGTCAGAATTATTAGTCCCCCTTTGAATTTTTTTTTATTATTTTTTTTTTATTATTTCCCAAATAATGTTTAACAGAGCAAGGAAATTTTCACAGTATGTCTGATAATATTTTTTCTTCTGGAATTTTTTTTTTATTCTTGGCTAGAATAAAAGCAGTTTTTAATTTTAAAGAAATTATGTAATTCAATATTATTAGCCCTCTTTAGAAATATTGCTTTTTAACTGTCTACAGAACAAACAATTGTTATACAATAAATTGTCTAATTACCCTATCCTGCCTAGTTAACCTAATTAACTTAGTTAAGCCTTTAAATCGTCACATTGGAATTTTAAGGATCTATCTGCGTTTTAAATGATTTTGATATATTGAGCTTCAAAGTTTTAGCATTCCATAGCCAAACAGTATGTGTCAAACATTTGTTGTTTGAATAAAAAGTCTTAAACTGTAAACAACTAATAAAAAAATTTAAAAACATCCCATAATGTAAATAGGTTCTCATTTAATAAGAATATGTCAATAATTAAATTTTGACAAAAATGTCTGATAGAACCTTATAATTCTAAGGTGAGGAAATGTGACCTAAAGCTGTATAGACGTGTCTTGAAAAAAATCTAGTCAAATAATATTTACTGTCATTATGGCAAAGATAAAAGATATCAGTTATTAGAAATAAGTTATTAAAACTATCATATTTAGAAATGTGTTGAAAAAGTCTTAACTTTCTGTTAAGCAGAAATTAGACAAAAAAATAAACAGGGGGGCTAATAATTCTGACTTCAACTGTATGTGAATAATAGTGATCTTGCAGGTCTGAACAAGCCAGTTCAAGACACTGTTTTTGTCACATCATGTCACATATAATATTTCATGAAAACTGCTTCCCTTATTTTTTTTTTTTATAAAAAAAAATATTAAAGATCATACCAATGGTCTTTTTAAGGTTTTCTTTTAAAGAATCTAACTGAGGCTTTTCTTCATTATAATTTTTTACTTTATGCCCCTCATAAAAAAATACTTGTTCATCACATAAAAAAGTGAATTCAGGTCATTTTTAAGTATGCATTTTAAATATATTTTAACTATCCTTGGCATTTCCCGAAAATGTCATTATATTGTAATGATATTAACACATAGTCATAAAAGTTTGACAAATTCCCTTTTGCAAATTTGGCAGATTATAAATTAATTAGATGAGAGTTGTTTTTATTAATTTGTTATAAAAATTGAATTAATATGAAATGCCATTCCCCTGACATGTTCTGGATATTCAGATTTACAGTGAGAAGTGACATTGCTAAACCTCTAAAATCTAAACCTCTTTTTGTTTGTCTCTTTCTTCACTTTAACCAGAGATCTAAGATTGCTCTCTTTGACAAGATGTGGCAGTACATGAAGAGCGCAGAGCCTTCGGTGTTTGTTAAAAACACAGTGGAAGGCGTCTTGCGTGTCCGGAAATCCAAAGGCAAATACGCTTATCTTCTGGAGTCCACCATGAATGAATACATCGAGCAGCGCAAGCCCTGCGACACCATGAAGGTCGGAGGGAACCTTGACTCTAAAGGCTACGGCATCGCCACACCCAAGGGATCTGCTTTAAGGTGGGTGGAGTAGTATAACAATATGGCCCATGTTGTTATAGTATCCCACCTACCCTGATGTAGGCCGGGGGTCCTCTTTAAAATGAGGTAAACTAGGTAATAGCAGAACTGAGAGTAGGGAAGAATGGTAACCTAAGCAAGATGGGCAAAAACAGCAGGGTAGAGACTTAGCAAGGAAACTGCAGAGATAGCGAGGGCTTAAGAAATGCTAGCTGACAGCTGACAAGCAGGAGACCTAGCAGCCGGTGCTCTCTGGGAATGACGCTTTAGAAAAAGCAGAATAATTTAGTATCAAACAAATAAAGAGCTAGCTTAACATTAACTTATTCAGCTTATTATTAACTATTATATTAAAATAGCAAGTGAGCAGCATAATAAAATACATTTATCTTTTAGGGCTGTTGGATTAAAATATAGGTAAGCAATTCATTCAAATGTTTATTATTTAACATGTTAATATTAATCATAAAAATCGTTAAATGTTAATAAATGGTGTAATTATTGAGTTACTGTAGGTATATTTAGTGGCTTTTATGCATCTTCAAATATGAATTAATGTAACACAGAGCTCCCCAAACTTCACTGGTGTATTATACACAACATAGATATATAAAAATCCTTTATTATCATTTGGAACGCTTCCATTTGTTTTATTTACTGCAATAAAATGTACAAATCAAATTCTGGTGAGGGTAAAAAAGCTAGCTATATTCTTTTAAAAAATATATAAAACTAAACACTAACTTAAGACAATCTCTAAAACAAGCTTTACAAATAGAATTCACACTTAGAATCGATATGATCCATGTTCTTAACAACGTTGAAATGAAACTGCTGCAACTAAATTTAGACGGAAGGGTGATGGATGTTCTGTGATGTTCTGCGAAAGACCCAAGGGCAACAAGTCTAGTTCATGGTTGGGTAGAAAAACAACAGAAAAGCAAATCATTGGAGTACAAAAACAGACCTAATTTAACTTAAAGATTGAACTCCTATACTCATGTTCTTTTTTAATGAAGCAATGTTCAAACATGCACTTCATTTCTCTTGGTTTGTAATGTCCAGACCTAAAAAAGATAATAATGCTTTTGGACCTGGTACATTAAGTGTTTACATTGGCATTTATAAGTCCAAACCTAAAGATACTTTTTTTTTATCATGGATACTTTGCAATGGAACCCATGCTCACAAAAACAAGAGAAAACCAAGACAAAGAAAATTAATAGAACATGACTATTAAACTAAACAAAATGTAATTGTAACAATATTTTGATTTTGTTGATTTACCTTTGGCCATGGACTCCCTGTAGCCCACCAGGGTGTTGAGGCCCATAGTTTGGGAAGCTCTGGTGTATTCATTTTCATATACAGTGCTCAGCATATATAAGTACAACCATCACAAATCTATCTTTTAAATTCTTATTTTTAATAAAATATTATATTTGTGCATATACAGTTGAAGTAAGAATTATAACCTCCCTGAATTATTAGCCACCCTGTTTATTTTTTCCACCAATTTCTGTTTGACGGAGAGATTTATTCAACACATTTCTAAACATAATAGTTTTAATACTCATTTCTAATAACTGATTTATTTTATCTTTGCCATGATGACAGTAAATAATATTTGATTAGATATTTTTCAAGACACTTCTATACAGCTTAAAGTCACATTTTAAAGGCTTAACTAGGTTAATTAGGTTAAATAGGCTGGTAAGGGTAATTAGGCAAGTTATTGTATAACAATGGTTTGTTCTGTAGAGTATCGGGGGAAAAAATTAGCTTAAAGGGGCTAATAATTTTGTCCCTAAAATGTTTTCTAAAAAATTTAAAAATGCTTTTATTCTAGCCAAAATAAAACAAATAAGACTTTCTCCAGAAGAAAAAAATATTATCAGACATACTGTGAAAATATCTTTGCACTGTTCAACATAATTTGGAAAATATTTAAAATAGGAAAAAAATTCAAAGGGGGGCGAATAGTTCTGACCTCAACTGTACATTAGATTAGTCAGTACTGAAGCCAAATCTGGAAAAATAACTTGCAATAATGGTCCAAAAACTAGTGCACCCAAATTTATATGTTATAGAAAAAAATTTAAATACTAATTTTAAAAAGAGGAAAAATCAAGAGAAACAAAAAAAAGTGCTAAATTTAGTTAAAATTTTGTAGGTTGTAATTTATTTAGCAATATTTTGCTTGAATTTAATTGTATTGTCTTTCAATTTATAAATATGTTTGGTGACTAAAATACTATTTTAATAAATATATATGTTTAATAAATTGGCTTTGCTTAAATGCACCAAAATACATTGCCTATATTTAATGAGAAATGGATACAAATATTCATTTTTAAAATTGGGTGAACTCAATTATGCTGAGCACTGTACCTAGTCTAACACATGATATTTTATCATTGTTAAACCTGAATAACAGTTCTGTGTAACTTTTATCAGTGGATCTGATATTACAAAACCCAAATCTAGTTAAAAGTAATGCTTAATTATTGCAAATCTGTAATATCAATTATTGGTTGATCTCTAGAATTAAATGAAGAGAGTGGCAACTCAACTCTTTAAAGATTGATTTACCCGTCATTTCATTTGTTTAAATTTTCTGATATGTGAAAAAAATGTTTTCAATTAATTGCTTGTGTTACCATTCTAACTTTTCACAGCCCTAAAGGAAATAGATTAGTTTGTGTGGTTCTTTTTCAGGAAATACCGGGTCTGCTCATGGAGCTTAGTAGATATTAACTGAAGAGAAGGTTTCAGATGTGTTATTTCCAACAGACTACTGAAGAGTTCTGAAGCCTTTTTTTCACCTGTTTTGCTGATGATGATCAACTGCCATGTTTTCAGTGGAGCAAACGTTGGCAAACTTAAAATGGCTTTCTATTCTCTCTAAATTGAAGCATAGTGGCGTAGTAAATATTGGAAAGGATATCGTTACTAATGATATTCAGGCTAATTCTACTCACGTTTGCCGTTATCATCTGTTTTACTGAATGCATGTCAGTTCTTAATGACTGATGCAATGGCCTCTTGCAACCAGACTGTTATGTTATGACAAATGCTATTTACTGAAAATCTGCAGTAATCAATGCATGCGTTTGGGCTCTTGGAATTGAATGGTCGCCATAAGCATTACAGAATGTCTAAGCTGATGATTCAGAGGCTGAACAGTAACTTGATTATGAATGCATTTGATGATGCACCGTTTGAACTATGCATGCTGTCTTTCTTGATACTTCTAACCAGGTTTGTTTGCTTCAACGCTTAAAATGTTCTCTGCTAACTGATTTGAGGATCTGGATGTGCATTTGAGCAATAACTGATACTATCACTGATCCTCCTCTGTTCTAGCCTCCTGCCTCAAGAGTTTGAGTTTACAAAAAAAGAACTCTTAAAGCTCGACCACCTTACATTTTGATGGGTCGTTGAATACAATTTTGATTGGTTGATTGATTTGACTGACTTACTGATTGATGGATTGTCTAACCCAATGTTCCATTCATTCTATGCGACTTTTGGGGGGCGTGGCCCGCTGCAGCCCCGCCCCCCTCCATGCTGTCTGACAAGTATGTTTTATCGTTTGTTTAAGAAACGCGGTAAACCTTGCAGTGCTAAAACTGAACGAGCAGGGGCTTCTGGATAAATTGAAAAACAAATGGTGGTACGACAAAGGAGAGTGCGGCAGCGGAGGCGGGGAGTCAAAGGTCAGACCCGTGCTCGGGATTGTGGGTTCAAAATGAAATGAACAAAATGCAAATGAGCAGGAAGCACTACCAGAGAACCCAGAAAGACAAGCCTAATGCCTACAAAGCTGCTATCAATTGGCCAGTTTGTCGACAACATCTGGTCCAGAATGAAATGCAGACAACCTAAAAAACAGATTCTCAGAGGTATACGGCTCGTTGGCGGGCGCTGTTTCTGCTTCCTGCTCGCGGCGATGAGTCTGTGCACATCTGGCACGGCAAAGCCGCGTTTGCCGACTGCCAAATGGAGCGCAGACTGTCGATCGCCACCACGCTCAGGGCTGAATCATGACCAGCGCTGTTAGCGAGTGCAAATGTTACTGACAATAACATAAAATAACATTGGTAATGTTATTTATGTTATTTCCCATACGCGAAGAACGCCAGTAAACCTTGCAGTATTGAAACTCAGTGAGCAAGGCATCTTAGACAAGCTGAAAAACAAATGGTGGTACGATAAGGGAGAATGTGGAGCCAAGGACTCTGGAAGTAAGGTCAGTCACTGCAGGGAGCGTGTGTGTGTGTGTGTCTGGCAGGGCTAGAATGTGTATGTGCGTATGCATGACAATCTGTAAAAAAAACTGTCTCAGTTTGGGGGATACAAACCCAAGCATTAGCAGACTAGTGTGTATGTGTGTGTGTCGTGTATTGGAGAGGAAAAGAGTATGAGAGCGATATTAAAGGAAGCTTGTGCAAAAAAGAATTACAGCTTATGTTAATGTGTGTGTGTGTGTGTGTGTCAAAGCAAGCCCCCCTACACAGATTTACCACCGCATGAATCAGAGCCTGACCTGTGTATACAATCAATGATGCCTATACAAACAGGGATGTGATATAAACACGCAGTAATGCATGCCACACACATACACTAGCCAAGACATCATTTACTCTGTACTCGATCCACATTCCCCTCACACACACACACACGCAAACACCACACCTGTATAGGCTCAGAATTTCCTTGTGCTCCTTTGTATTTCTGTGTGCTTTATTGACAACTTGTCCTGTTCCTTTTTATTTTATATCTTTCTTACGCTCTCTCTTTCTCCCTCCTATCTCTCTTTCTCTCTCCCCATGCGGTCTCTCCTTCTCCCTTCACCAATGCTGTAAATGTTGTTTGTATTTTTTGCCTTTTACTTAAGCTGTCTTTAATTGCAATTCTGTAGGTGGCGTCTTTTTTCCTTCTTTATGTGCACACACTGCACCGCACTGTCTTGTTGTATTTTTGTAGCCGTCTGTGTATTTTGTGTGAAGTACTGTTAGACGTTTACATATACAGTATATATACACATTTAATAATACTGTAATATTTGTCTAGTCAATTGAATACTGTTATCTTTAAAGTCGTAATGTGTTAAATATTTATATATAGTATTATAATAAGTGGTTTTGGCATACTGTCGTCTTTTCTCTCCCTTATTTTGACCTTTGACCTTCGCCCCCTGCAGGAGAAGACTAGCGCCCTCAGCCTGAGTAACGTTGCGGGTGTCTTCTACATCCTGGTTGGCGGCCTCGGGTTGGCCATGCTGGTCGCTCTGGTGGAGTTCTGCTACAAGTCGCGCGCGGAGGCCAAACGCATGAAGGTTGCCAAGACTCAGGCTCTAAATCCCTCCTCTTCCTCGCAGAATTCTCAGAATTTTGCTACTTATAAGGAAGGGTACAACGTTTATGGGCTGGAGAGTGTTAAGATCTAGTGGGGTAGGAACGGCAGAGGTTTTATTTTTGTTGTTTGTTCACTGTTTTGTTTTCATTTTCTCATTTTTTTTATCGTACGCCAAGCGCTTCATCGCCACTGCACCACTTTCCGGGCATCTCTCTGACATCCATTTCTTTAGGATTTAAAGGGGTCATATCAACATTTTTATGTAATAATTTGCCTTTGTATTTCCCTGAGGTCAACCAAGGCAGATTCAAGCTCCACTGACGCAGACATAAGACAACACTTTGGTTTTAGTTAAATCTGTGTGTTACCCCTGTTCGGTGTCTGTTGGAGCTTGTTTTCAGGTCTAAGAATTGACATGCTGTAGTTTGTGTAGATTGACCTTTAGGCTGTAATTTAGTTTAACATATGTTTTCCACTCTCTGTCCAACCCTTAAAATTAAATGGAAAGTTTTTGCTTATTTATTACTTCTATTTTTAACAAAAAATATGATTATTTGCTTACTTAAAGTTACAGTACTCTGTTTCACCGTCTCTGTTTAAAACTATTTAAAGCAAGTTACTAGTGAAGTATATATATATATTTTACTAGTTGTGCTTTGCCATGAATGAATCTCTAATCACATCAGAGTGGATCAATGCATGACATTTTCATGACAATGAGAAGCACTTCCTACTAGGCATATACCTTAAAAAAATATCTGAACAAATAACATTACTGAACAAATGTTTTAAAATAAATGATGATACTGATGATTAGATCTAATAGCACACAATTATGGCTAACTGGCTTTTGCCATAAAATGGGAATAGACAAATCAAATTTTAAAACATTATTAAAAGCTTACCATTACAAATCAGGCATGGTAAAAAGACTATATAATTGGTACATTTACTTCCTTCATAGTTGTATTTTTTTGTTAGTAATCCAAAAAGTAACATTTTGTAACATTCATTCATTCATTTTCTTTTTGGCTTAGTCCCTAAATCAAATGCTTATATTACTTCTATTAATAAATCATTATATTCCCCAGAATTTTCTAATCTTTAATGAATGAATGCCACTATATGATAAAGATTATTATTTTCAGTCATTCAATCATTCATTTTCCTTCGGCTTAGTGACTTTATTCATCAGAGGTTGCCACAGCGGAATGAACCGGCAACTTATCCAGCATATTTTTTACACAGCGGATGGCCTTCCAGCTGCAACCCAGTAATGAGAAACACGTATACACACTCATTCACACACATACACTACGGACAATTTTAGCTTGGTCAATTCACCTGTAGTGCATGTCTTGCAACTTGCGGGGGAAACCAGAGAACCCAGAGGAAACGGGGAGAACATGCAAACTTTACACAGAAATGCCAACTGACCCAGCTGAGGTTCGAACGAGCAACCTTCTTGCTGTGAGGCGATCGTGCTACCTACTGACGCCCATTTTGTTAATAAATCAATCCATACTTACTCCCAGGGCCATTTATATTAAAGTTGATATTTAGTCACACCATATTGGTGTTTTCTAACATCTAGATGTTATGAGGTGGGTTGTTAGCTTAACGCTCAACCCCCAACCTGGAGGACCAGGACACACACATAAACTATGGATAATTTGGCCTACCCAATTCACCAACAGCATGTCTTTGGACTGTGAGAAAATCAGAGCACGCGGAGAAAACCCACGCAAAAACATGGAGAACATGCAAACTCCACACAGAAATGCCAACTAAGTGACCCAGACGGGGCTCAAACCAACGACCTTCCTGCTGTGGGGCGACATCACTACCCTTTGTGCCACCATGCCACCCAATTTAATCCACGATGAAATTAAATACTCACATTTTTGCTGTTGGACTTTGAAAAAAAAAATCAGCTACTCTTTCCCAAAACTAGCATTATCCATTATCCTCTTTATTTCTGAACTGGATTTATAGGTTTCTCAACACAGATCAGGCATAACTACTACTGAGCTTCAGACAGCTATATTGTCAAAATGACAGACAAAAAAATAATAATTCTAATGCCGTAAATTTATGGAACAAACAGTGTTTTACATAACAAAAAAAAGACAATTCGATTTTTCACGATATGACCTCTTTAAAAAAAAAACCCCGTAATTATTTTACAAGTTGTGTTAAACTGACCCTATATTTACATCAACCGAAGATTAAAGAAAAGTAAGACAAATGACAAACAGAGCGAGGGTAAATTGTAATGAATAAATCTCCTCAGCTCATTTTGTTCAGCGGCAGTTCCTTCATTTTCCGTTTGTTTACCTTCATTGACGCTTGTGGTTGTTTTGTGAATCGGCTGCACCGCTTGCTTTGATTACAAATCTCTGTCATCGTAGTACGAGACCCATTAGCTGTCAGTCATTCTCCACCCCATCAGCTCCTCATAAACATCTGCAGTTTATATAGATGTTATACATACATTAATATCAATCTGCATTTCAGACGTCGACCTATATACAACATTAACGATTGTTTCTACGTTTTCTCTCCCTCTCTCTTTCTGTCTGTATGTGAATGGCTGTGTATTTCCGCATGTGTGGGTGTATGTTTGGGAACAGATGACGTTCACAGATGCTATGCGCAGTAAGGCCAGGTTGTCTATAACGGGCAGTACAGGGGAGAACGGGCGAGTGCTGACTCCAGACTTCTCTAAAGCCGTCCATGCTGTGCCGTACCTGAGACCTGGCATGGCAATGCCTCTGAGTGTGAGCGAGCTGTCCTGAGTGCCTTACACACACATACACACAAACACTGGTGCAAGCATGCTGTACCCCCACTTTCATACGTGTACATATTCTTACACACACAGACACACTATAAATAAATATATATATATATATATATATATACATAATAATAGTTAACTATTCCATATTCAATGAATCACAACATCTATACACAGGATGTCAGATCCATTTAAACACACTTTATCACGTTTACTGTTCAGTGCAATCATATTTTGGCCAGCGTGTCACGTGTACATTTGCAAAAACAGACGTAAAAAAGGTATACAGGCACATGGCCGCGTGTGCATATGCAGACAACTTCAACTTTGTGTAGCTACACATCTATAAAGTTGTGTATTTTTGCATTTCCAAGTTCTCGTTTCGAATACGCACACATATTATGACCTCATGTATTCGCTCGCATAATCACTTGGCTCCAGTTTTCATCGATTTCTTTTCACATTGTAAGTGACGACATCGCAATGCTGCACTGAGGAACAATGTTAAATCCTTCCTACTGGAAAAACACAACTCCACTCCTGTTTGCATTGCAAAGTGTTTTTGGATTCTCAAGAACTCAAGCACACAAATCATCTGCGTCAAATGTGATTTTGTTTACTTGGTCTACATGATAAATATATTAAATCAAATGTTTGACTAGAATCGTTTCTTATTATATGAGATCTGTATGATAAATGATGTATATAATTACACTTTTGTTCATTTGATGTTAATGTTACCATGCAAATGCTAAATGATTGAGAAAAAAACTAAATGATTTAAGTAGTTTTGTTTCTTCTCCTCACTGGTTTGTTTTGTTGTGATGTTTATTTATTTATTTATTTATTTTTTGGATCACTGTGTTCCGTTTTTCTGGCCTATGGACAATGCAAGCAGTAGTTTTATAATTCTGTCTTTTAATTAAAAAAAGAAACTAAAAAAAAAGAAAGAATATTTTACCTTCTGCATTTCACCATTTAGATGGTATGGATCTGTATATGAATAAATGAACTTCTATATATATATATCGATATCTCAAAATGCCAAATATTGATGTGTGCCAAAATATGTCAAGGCATTTCAGATGCTTTTATCAGTTTTGTCTCTGTACGGGGAAATGTAAAGACTGAAAATTAGCACCCTATACTCGAGGGTTTGTTATTTATGTCATCTTTGGCTCTCTATGTTTTGTTTTGTTTAGGTTTTCATATTAAATGCATTGTACTTTTAATAAGGTGCACTACGATATGCAGTTTTAACTGTGAAAAGCATGACGACCTTTAGTTATGTTTGTTTTTATAAAAGCGATGATTATGTATATCACTTATATTAGTTAAGTAGGGGTTTTCTTTGACGTAGTCATGACCTGAAGACTAAGAGATGGAGATGATTATTACAGATAGTTATATTGAAAATTATATTGATAAAGTATAAGCCGATCACCCTTTTCTATGCCATGCTGTGTAACTGAAATCTTGTTCATTAGTTTTATATGTATATGTACTGTACATGTAAATAGAATCCATTCATGTGTATAACTTAAAATCTTGGATGATACACGATTACACAAAGACGCACATTAGAGGATTGCTCATTTTGTGCTTTTTTTGGGAGAATGTTTGGGAACGTCTGAGTGAAGTACCAAGCTGTCTCTCATTTCCAGACACTAATGGACTGGTCATCACTAGCATCATTTCAGCTGGAGGGTTTGCCATGGGATGAAAAAAAAGGAGGACATTTTTCTAAATGGAATGTGGACCGATTGCTTTATTTTTTGGAATATTTTGAAATAAACAGAGACTGAGAATCCTCTGATATTCTGTATTTTCTCTGTTTCGTGTGTTGGAGGAAAGTGCGCAGCAGGGGGTTGAAAAGCATGTCAGCTCTTCACACATAAATTCACATCCTGGGTCCAAAATTAACAGAATATGAAAATGTTGAAACAGCTTATCTAGAATGTCTCTCTTTTTTTTAAATATGACATGCGGCAGCGCATTTATGAAGGATTCCACATTATGCTAGAAGTATAAAAATATGAGTATTCAAATAGGTGCACGTCGTGTTTTTATGACACCTGGACTGATGTTGAAAATAATACTACCAAATTATTCTACTGGAACAAAATGTAATTTAAATAAACATGTACAAATAATGTACTGAATTATTATATGTCAAAATATTTTAATGGTTTTATGATGAGAAATTACTAGTATTACTTAATCACTTTTGCGCATGATTATATTTAATATAATTTATATATACATACACTTACCGGACGCTTTATTAGGTATACCTTACTACTACCGGGATGTGGCATAGATTCAACAAGGTACTGGCACTCTTCCATTCCACCACATCTTAAAGGTGCTCTATTGGATTGAGATCTGGTGACTGTGGAGGATATTTAAATACAATGAACTCATTGTCATGTTCAAGAATCCAGTCTGAGATGATTCGCGCTTTATGACATGGCACGTTATACTGCTGAAATAAGCCATCAGAAGATGGGTACATTGTGGTCATAAAGGGATGGACATGGTCAGCAACAATACTCAGTTAGGCTGTGGTGTTGACACAATGCTCAATTGTGCTCAAAATCGAGACTCAGAGCTGGCAATGTTTTTTTCAATCTTCTTTTGTCCAATTTTGGTGAGCCTGTGAAAATTGCAAGTTTCCTGTTTTTAGCTGAAAAGTGTGGCACCCGATGTGGTCTTCTGTTGGTGTAGCCCATCCGCCTCAAAGTTCAAAGTGTTGTGTGTTCAGAGATGCGTTTCTGCATGTCTCAGTTGTAACAAGTAATTATCTGAGTTACTGCTGCCTTTCTATCAGCTCAAACCAGTCTGTCCATTCTCCTCTTCCCTCTGACATAAACAAGGCATTTGTGCCCAGAGAACTGCTGCTCACTGGATATTTTCTCTTTTTCGGACCATTATCTGTAAACCCTAGAGATGTTTGTGATTGAAAATCCTAGTTGATCAGCAGTTTCTGTAATACTCAGACCAGTCCATCTGGCACCAACAACCATGCCGTGTTCAAAGTCACTTTAATCACCTTTCTTCTCTATTCTGATGCTCAGTTTGAACTGCAGCAGATGGTCTTGACCATGTCTACATGCCTAAATGCATTGAGTTGCTGCCTTGTGACTGGGTGATCAGAAGTTAACGAGCAGTTGGACAGGTGTACCTAATAAAGTGGCCGGTGATTGTATACGTTAATATAAATACATTTTTGTTAATTAAATTTCTACCTTTATTCTTATTATCTATGATGTTTTTTCCTGCTTTTAAGTTCAAGATAGCTTTAAAAATGAACGTATTTACCTGAAAGCACTTTTAACAGCTTTTACTCTTGCTTTTGATCAAGTTTTCCCTAATGAATTAAAGTATTTTTAAAAAAGAAGTAAATCACACTTTTCCACAAAAAAAAGTGCAAACTGAAATTAATAAAATTAAAGCTTAAAACTCAAAATTACGAGATATGAACTTACAATTTTTAGAAGAAATGTATGAATTGTAAGATTTAAGTTGTTACTGGCAGAAAATGCTTCCATTCATTATAGATTGTTGGTATATACAAATAAGAAGAGTTTTCATATTCCTTTAACAACTAGTAAACTGCACTGACAGTGCTTTAAGCCAATGAAAAAGTGTGTTGATTTATTCAAGCTAATGTGCTTTGAGTGGCTCAGAAGCACAGGAACAGATGTGGCCCTGTTCAGTATGTACTAGGGACACATTAGTGTTCTCATAAACAAGCTACAGTATTTTAGCCAAGTGTTTCTAATTGCCTGATGATCTTTTGGGGGAAGGAAAAATGCCAACATTTGTGTGTATGTATTCTTATTAAATTCTTACTGAAAGACTTGCCTGATGTTCAGGTTACATGTTATAGTTCTGGGACAACACTAACAAACACAGTCTCTTTTCATGCAAGGCTTCCAGGCAAACAGACTGGCATAGCATCTGCAGCTCAGCAGTCGAGTTTCCTCTTGCTGAGCCTAGTTCCTTATTAGCTTTATCAACCAATGGGAAAACAGCATTCCCCTGTAGCCAAACTTACTTGAGTCTGTTGCAGCCAATTAGCACTCAGCGTCAAATTAATTAGGGAAGCGCATTCAGGTATCAATTTTTTTATCAATTTTGTCTCCATGATTTTACGTTTGCATCTAATGCTTAAGCACAGTGCTTTTGTTTGTTATTAGGAGTATTTAAAGGGGTTCCTCTGGCTGATGTATATAACAGTTCTGACTTAACATCACGGAGCATTGTTTTTGTTTTTTCTTTCTCCTACACATACCGCTGCAGTCACACTAGAGTTTGGGCATGCAAAATTTTGTCATACGGCGCTGCGAAATAGGGCAGGATTAAACAAGATGATTAGACATCGAAAAAAAACATACCATAGCTCCTTATTTTAAATTTATGTCCAGAGAGCTCATGTTTTGATCCTCGATTGGTCTCACGCAATCAAGTGATGCGATTTCGCAGGTCAGAGTTCAGCAAGCTTTGGACCAAAGTGAACTGCGAAACTTGACGCATGAACTTGTGTTTCCGGTCTGACGCATTTGCGTGCGTATTCATGGAAGTCTATGGGGTGAGAAGTGTAGTGTGACTGCAGCTTAACTTTCAAGCTACCCTACTTAAAAAAAAACAAAAAAAAAAAACATCTTAAACCAGCCTAGACTGGTTGGCTAGTTTTAGCTGGTCAACCAGCCTGGTTTAGAAGGGTTATGGCCATTTCCAGGCTGGTTTCCAGCCATTTCTGGACGATGACCAGCTTGACCAGCCTAGCCAGGTTGGAAGCTCAGCCAAAACCAGCTATGTCCAGCTTAAACCAGGCTTTTCAAGCTGGTTTTAGCTGGATTTAGCTGGTCAAGACCAGGCTGGAAATAGCTGAAAACCAGCCTGGAAATGGCCAAAACCCCTCTAAAACCAGGCAGGTTGACCAGCTAAAACTAGCCAACCAGCCTATGCTGGTTTAAGTTGTTTTTTTCAGCAGGGTAGCCTGCCAATTCTACAGGGGCTGCATGGATATTAGCCTGAATAAAAGTCAGTGGCTGCGTCGCATACTTCCAGATTATATAGGCCATTTTGAGGGATGTAAAAAAAAACAATAGTATTTCCTGTTTTGCATTTTTAGTTTCTATAGCTTCCGAGTGTAACAAAGGCCAGCTAATCAGTGCTGTGCAGGTAAACCAAACTCCTCTGACCTCTAAAGGTGCAACGCTAGAGGCCATGGTCTTTAGCCTCCTTGTTAGAGCAATTGACTCCCTTGTGGAAGATCGCCAGTTTGATCCTAGCTCGGAGCGGGTTGGGCGGTGTAGGACCGGCAGGGTTACATTGGTGCCGTGACCCGGGTGGGAGTGAGGTTTAGGGGGGTGAGTGTAACGGAGTCCAGCTAGTAAGTGCTGTGCAGTTAAACCTCACTCCTCTGACCTCTAAAGGTGCTCTAGCGACAGACGCTAGAGGCCATGGTCTTAAACCTCCGTGTTAGAGCAACCAACTCCCATGCAGAAGGTCGCCAGTTTGATCCCACTCGAGTGGGTTGGGTGGTGTAGGACCGGCGGGGTTACATGAGGATCCAAAAAATCCAAAATCCACATATTGATTAACATTTTTATGATAGCTCTTTTAACATTAACTTATGATTTAATTGTCTCTAATTACAGTTATGAAATAATTTGATAACAAGCAGGAAATGTTCATGGACCAATGACATGACCACATTGAAATGGTCAATAGTATGTTAAAAAGAATATGTGAGCTGAGCAGTGTGTCTGAATCCATAGTATTCAAAATACAGTTGAAAAGAAGTACTACTTCCTACTACTTCCGGTGAGATTCTGAAGTCCGTATCCGATGGACGCCAACTACGCCACTATGCCAAGATGCCACGCGAGAGAATTCATGAATGGGAGTGAAGCGACAACTGTTGTGGGTAGGTCCCTTGATAATGACAAATGGATGATGTCTGAGCTCCATTCATACTTACACTCATACTATATAAAACATACATTTCTAAAAGTCATGTACATTACAATTTAATGTAGTAGCTACTGCATAGTATGTAAATTTGGACACAGCCCATCCCAGTCTAGCCATGACAGAGCTCCTCATTTTCCTGGCCAGCTAACAATGATGCTATTGAGACATTCAGATTTATGAACGGATATCTATAGTAGAAAGACAAATACTATGGATGTGAATGATTACAGCATTTAATAATAATACATTTTATTTAAGGAGCTTTTTAAGATTTTAAGCTTTTTAATATATATACATACACACACACACACACACACAATTCAGTCATTTAAAGTTGCACAACATATACACAATTGAATAATTAAAAAATGAACCGACAGTATAAAAATAGAGAAGATGGTTAAATACAAATGCATGGTACAGAATTTTGAACATTAATTTTAAGTCTGGATTTCAACAGAGGGAGAGAGTCAATGTTGCAGATGTCAGGAGGAAGAGAATTCTAGAGTTTGGGGGCAGAGCACCTGAAAGCTCTGTTTTCTATTGTGCTGAGACGGGCAGAGGGAACAGAGAGTTGAATGGAGGAGGAAGATCTAAGGGAGAGGGAAAGAGTGGTGATATGAGGGAGATCAGACATGTTAGGTGGTGCGAGGTTGGATGGCCTTGAATGTATGCAGGAGGATTTTATATTGGATTCTGGGTTTGATTGGAAGCCAGTGCAGATCTTGAAAAATGGGAGTGATACGGTGAAAAGAAGGAGTTTAGTGATGATGCAGGCAGTTGAATTCTGGACAAGTTGACGCTAATGGAGGGATTTCTGTGGAAGACCAT